AGCCTGCACAAACTAGGGTCCCCTGTAGGATCCTTTTTGTTAAGGGTGCCGTACTATGTTTGAGGGACCTGAAAAAGTGGACCCTGATTTAGAGACTTATACTCATAATAGACCTGCTAAAAGCCCCAAAGGCCTGAAGGCCCAAGCTCGGTAGATCCCCAGCACCTGCGGTTTGGGGTTTAGGGTTTTCGGGTTTGGGGGTTTCTATGGTTGCGGTTTAGGGTTTAGGGTTTAGGGCACACCGGAAAACCTGAAAACGAGGTCGGCGGCTTCGGGGAACCCGCTGTGCAAAGACCAGGCCGGCTCATGGCGCAAGGTTTTGTTTTTAAAGGGTGAACGGCGGATTTGGGGTGTGGGGTCTTGGGTCTTACAGGGTTTAGGGTTTGGGGATTTTCAGAGTTTGTTTTTTTTAGGGATACGCTTTAGGGTTTAGAGTCTGCCATCTGCAGCCTCGCATGTCCCTGCAGCTTCCTTGCCCTCATTCCGCTCCTGTATGCATCTGCCTTTGCTTCGCGCTCTCTTCCTAGGGCCCCCTATACTTCCTTAAATTCGCTTCATCACCGAGGCGATCCTTCCGAATGAGGTGCACTACGCTTGATGATATAAGTCCTGAATTACCCATAATAAGGAATATATACCATAATTCCCATAGTCAGAGGGTCCTGAAGGGAATGCAGGATTTATATCATCATTATTATGTGTTGGAGTTGCTCGCCTGTAGAAGACGAGCAGTTGAAGGGTTTGGGTTTGGGGTGTAGAGAGGTGGACATTCCAACCCGCGACCCCCAGCGCCCAAAGAAACTGAAGCTTGCAATGTGCTTGCCCCTTGCTGCGGAGCTCCGGCTCATCCGCTCCGGGAGGCGGAGGCGGAGAGGAAGAGGAAGACCCCCAAAGGATCCAACACAAACAGGGGCCTCAAACGGCCGAACGCCTTCTTTCAGCTCATGGGGTTCACTGGGTTTTGCTCCAACTCTGCACTTTAAAGTGGCAGGTGGGATACTGGGTTCTTGTTCAGGGGTTTTTACTTAAGTTGCGATAACCCTAAACCCTATAAACCTTTTATAGGTCCCCTATATCATATGGTAGCTTAAACTAAAAAAAACCCTAAACCCTCTAAACCTTATAGGCTCCCCCTAGATTTTATGGTAGCTTCAAAGTAGAGATTCCTTAACCAAAAAAGAGCCCCGTCTTCAGCCGAGCCGTCCTCGGCCCTAGGCCCGAGCCGAAGACCCAAAAAGAGAGCCCAGAGGAAGCCCGGAAGACGTGGCCCGGGGATGCAAAAAACCCTACCGTTTTAAGGGTTCGACCCTCTATTTTCAGGGGTCCTTTAACCTGCTATTTTGTAGGGTTTGGAGTCACAGGGGGGGTTTTGCTTCGGGTTTTCAGGCTATGATAGGGTGTACGGGGATTCGGGTGCTAAAAGGAGTTTAAGGGTTTTTACGGGCTATTTTTGGGTTTAGGGTGTATAGGGATTGCGGTCTTAAGGCGTTTGGGGTTGAAGGGCTATTGTAGGGCTTATAGGGTTTATATGGGGTTTGGTGTAAGAGCGGAGTCTAACTGCCTAGGGCCTCTCTCAGAGTCCCCTCCCTTTTTGCCGGCTCAGGGTGGAGATGGCGGAGATGGATCAACGGAGATGCAGGCAGCGTCTCCGCGTGGTGGGCTTTGTCGTGCTTTAAAATTTGGGCTTGCTTTAGATCCCTGACCCCTTATAACCCCTCAACCCTAAACCCAAAAGGGACACCTGGAGGATGTGTCTGATGTCTGCATCGCCCCCCAAGAAGCCTCCAAGAAGGCGCTCCCCATTTGCCTTCGCCCTTCGCTCTCCCAGCCTTCGAAAGCCCCCAAGAAAGCTGCACCGCAGAGGCCGAAAACCTCGGAATTTTTGGGGCAAAACGCCGGGGGATTCGTTGTCTGAACTTCCAAGCCGAAGCTCGAAGCACAGGGCGAAAATAACGGACTATCAAGATCTCTCTCTCTCTCTCTCTGTGTTCGACGGGGTGGGACGAAAATTAGTTTTTTTTCAAGCGGTGTCTGTTTTTTTTGGTTTCTTTGTTTGTGTTTTTGTCGAGGTAGCTTTCTTGGTTTTTCTTAGGGAAAACACTATTTCCCTTGCATCTTGGACGGACTTCTTAGGTTGTTTTCAGGACAACCTACTTTGCCTTTGTAATTCTACGGGAAAACACTATTTTCCGCGCATTCTGGACAGATTTTGTGCCATTTTCCTAGGCTTTCCAAAGGAAAACCTACGAACGGACCTTGAAGGACGTTATATGTTTGTAACGCGAATGTCCACCCTGAAAATTCTGTATCTTTGTATTGTGAGCGTTGTGAATTTTGAAGACATTACAATTACAAGTTTGTAACGCGAACGTCCACCTTGACATTTCTGCATCTTTGTATTGTAAGCGTTGTGAACTTTCAGGACATGAGTTTGCAATGCGACGGTCCATCCAGAAATTTCTGTATCTCTATATTGTGGCATTGTGAACTTTGAGGACAAAATAAGTTTGTGCGCGAACGTCCACCCTTCAGTTTCTGTATCTTTGCATTGTAGCCGTCGTGGAATTTGAGCACGCTATATGATTGTAACGCGAACGTCCACCTAAAAATTCTGTGTTTTTGTATGTAAGCGTTGTGAACTTCAAGGACACTATGAGCTTGTGACGGGAAGGTCCACCCTGAACTTTCTGTACCTCTGTATTCTTGAGCACCTTAAGTTTGCAACGCGAACGTCCACCCTGAAATTGCCCTTATCTTTGTAATGTAGGCATTGTGAAGTTTACGGAGACTCTGTGTTTGTAATGCGAACGTCAAACCTTCAAGGTCGATCCGTACATGTATCTTTGTACTGTAAACGTTGTGAACTTTAAGGACATTATATGTTTGTAGCGCGAACGCCCGCTCTGAAAAATCTGAATCTTTGTCATTGTATTGTGGGCGCTGCGAACTTTTATGATATGACACTACAAGATTCTACAAGTTTGTAATGCGAACGTCCATCCTGAAATTTCTGTATCTTTGTGTTGCAAGCATTGTGAACTGCAAGCACGCTACAAGTTTGTAACGCAAACGTCTGCCCTTCAATTTCTGCATGTTGGTAGGCGTCGTGAACCTTTCAAGAAACGATAATTTGAAGGGCGAAGGTCCACCCGCCAAATTTCTGTATCGTTGTATTGTAGAGGTTGTGAACTATATACGGACACTACAAATTTGTAACGCGAAGGTAGACCGTGAAATGTGTGTATCTTCGTATTGTGGGTGTTGTGAACTTTGTACGGGCACTACGAGTTTGTAGCGCGAGTGTCCACCCTTCAACATCTGTATCTTTGTATATTGTAGGCGTTGTGAAACTGAAGGACACTACAAGTTTGTAACACGAACGTCCAGCCTGAAATTTCTTTATCTTTGTATTGTGGGCATTGTGAACTATACGGACTTCATAAGTTAATGTAGCGCGAAGGTCCACCCTGAAATGTCTGTATCTTTGTATTGTAGTAGGCGTTGTGAAGTTTAAGGACGCTACAAGATTGTAAGGCGAACGTCCAGCCTGACATTGCTGCGTTTGGGAGGCTTGTGGGCGACTGCAAAAGGTGAAATCTGGGCGGATAATCTTCTGCAGTTTCTGCCCTGGAGCCCGGAAGCTGTAACTTCCCTTAAAGGCTGAAAAGCCTAACAAACGCCAACTCAAGTAGCCGGCCCCTTTGGATCCCATACGACGGCACGAGGTGAAGTCCTACAGTATATTATAGGGATCCTTTTTGGCGCAGAACGTTAGGTCCTTCGGAGCCACGGCTCTGGGCTCAATCTCTCTTTGCCAGTCGCTCTCGGTGCGCCTAAGCAAGCATTGCGGCTGCCAAGCTTCGGGGATGTTCTTTAGAGGTGCGCCCTCGCTGTGGTTTGGTTTCTGAATGACAAGGGAGCGTGAAGTTCAGCTGCGCCAGGCGTGAGGCCCATCGACATAAAGACGGGGAAAAGGCGGGATGGGTACAGGAGCTCAGGGGGAAACTTCGTAAACCCTCAACTGTAAACTGAAGTAAACTGAAACAAAAACCCCTTAACCCTCAAACCCTAACCTTCCTGAAGCCAAGCAGCCTTCGCTCCTGTCCAGAGTCTCTCTCTTTCCTCCCCTCAGGGGCTCTGGACTTCCACCCTCCACTCCTGCCACTTTGGATTCCGTGGCTTGTTGTGGCGTACGTACATCGTACCCTAACTCACAAAACCCATAGACCCTAAAACCTCTCAACAGCCAAGGCCACCTTCTTAACCCCCGATCGTAGATACCGCGCGAAGAGAGTCGAGTCTCCTGTACTGTACGTCCATCACCAGCCCCCAAAAGCGGCCTGAAGCTGTTTGCCGTGGGGGTGTTTGAAAGAGGGGTTGAGAGGGTCTGGGGTTGACGGTGTTCGGGGGTCTAGGGGTTTAGGGGTCGGGATGCTTTGGGGGTCTTTTGGTGTTGCTTCCGTGTGGGTTCTTGGTGGCCTGCTTGGTGAGGCCCCCGAAGCTGAGCCTGGAGCAGGCCTTGCGACGCCCCTCTGCAAGTCGGTTGCGGGGATGGGGGCTTGGGGCCTACTACGTACAATGTGAGATGGGAGGATGTGCGACATGAGCTCTTGTTCCTTTACAGAACTATATACAACAGCTGTGCTTGAGCTAGAGCTCGTTTGTCAGAGACATGACAGTGACAGGAAGCACAGAGCTTGCTTGCACGGATGGTGACATGTCAGCAGATGTCAGCAGGCCCGCCAGAGGCCTTCAGACCACCTTGAGTCGTGTGCTCCCGCAGCGTCCTCAGCCCGGCATGGCGCACCAGCTGCCCGCCTTGAGCCAAGAAGCGCAAGCGAGACCTCGATACAGCGAGCTGCAGCTCATGTCGTCTTCTACAAGTAGCTCTTCAGTCGCAAGTGACACGCCCTCCTGCATGGAGGTGCTGCGTGGCGCGCAGGTGAAGGCTCCAAGCCAAGCCATCGGGCGGTGTAGGAGAAGTTGACTTGCACTTCGCCATGGCTGGAGCCTATAAATATGACCTGCTCCTAGAACTCGACGACAGGCGGGCGCGGAGGGGGAGGGGGGTGGGGGAGGGCGGAAATGCGTTTTGTCAAAGGATCTTGCATAGCCTCGCCAGCCTCGGTGCCAGCTGCAGGCCTCGAAGCCTGGTAGCCACACTGGTTTGCCCGCAGCCGCACGAGCTAATAGATGACTATTATGGCAATCTACGACTGGATGAGCATGTACGAGAGCACTTCCTACGGGTGATGGACCTGGAGATTGACCTCGGGGTCTCCAGGCAGACTCTGCAACTCGCGCCGGCACAGGAGAGCTGCCGAGAGCACGTTGAGCAAGGGCGGCTGCCAACCCTGCAACGGCAGCTGGTGGTGCCAGCAAAAGCGCGGGTTTTGGGCTTCAAGTACCACGAGGTTGGGAGCTCAGAAGAAGCCGCGCCGTGCCATCTCCTCCATTTGTAGTACAGTGGAGTCCGTCGCGAGCTCCGTATGTTCACAGTGTACTACATCCTATATTGTGTTCTGATTCTGGTTCTAGCTTTGTCTAACGGAGAGGCTGCGTCTACTCAGGCCGTTGAGGCCGCAACGGGCTTCGCCCGGGTTCACGACCTTTGCGTCCTCATGGAGGACCTGTTTAGTCATGAGAGGCATGCGGGGCAGAGCCATGGCAAGCAAGAACCCTCAGCCTGCGGCGCCCTGATAGGAGGAAGGGAAGCTGTACCTGGAGCCGCTCTCCCGTATCTGCATAGACCGACTCTCGCAACACCTCCCTGGCCGAGTTCGCTGGCTGCCACCGGCATTGGAAGCGGTAGAGAAGATAGACAAGGACTGGGTTCTTGTTAAGGGATTTAATTTAAGTTACCATAATAAGGAAACCCTATTCTGTACCCTAGATCCCTATTATGGTAACTTAAACCGTAAACCCCCAAAATCCCTAAACCCCTAAACCCTAAACCCTTAACCCTATAGATCCCTATTACGGTAACTTAAATTGAATTCCTGAATAATTACTGTAACAAGAGCCCAGCGAGGAAGGCCTGGACGTCACGGAGCTCCCGGAGGCCCCTGAGAATCTGCTCCCCGCGTTCTGCAGCACTCGGCATGCTCCGTGGAGCATGTTCTACCTCTCCATATGAGTCAATGTATGTATGAATGTATGTATGTGTATGCATGTGTATATATATATACACATGCATACACATACATACACACACATACACATACATAACATAACATAACATAACATAACATAACAAAATATAGTATAGTATAATAGTATAGTATAGTATAGTATAATATAATATAATATAATATAACAAAAAATTAAAAATTATATAGTATAATATAATATAATATAATATAATATAATATAGTATAGTATAATATAATATAATATAGTATAATATAATATAATATAATATGATATGATATGATATGATATGATATAATATAATATAATATAATATAATATAACGTAACATAACATAGCATAACAGAACATAACATACGTAACATAACATACACAGATTGTTTGTTTCCTACGTCCCACACTTTACGGTTCCGCTTCATACTGTGCCAAGCTAGACGATCTACGTCTCGCTTGCTGGGTTTTGAGAGGTAGATGGCCTCCAGATCCTTCGGGGCTCGATGGACCACATCGTCGACTCCCACTACAAGGAGGGCATCGGTGTCCTACACCCGAAACCCTAAACCCCATAAACCCTAAACCCGGAACCGTTCTGCACCATCTTTCAGAGCCACGTGGTTGATCGCCGCAAGGACCCGTGGAAAGCTCTGTCTTTCTCCAAGGTGATGTGGTGGGTGGACCTGTCGCTGCTGACCTGCGTGACGGGCCCTAGTCGTAGCAGCCCTGTCCCAGCTTTCACGGCCCATGTGCAGCGAATGCCAAGGCGCTGTTCTACATCGACATCGTGTTGGACGTCAAACAGCTTGTGCTCTTCTACGGCAGTGGTCTGCACGGATACCTCCTCCTGAACATGATGGGGATGGCCATGCCCATCATTTTCACCACCTGGGACGCGATCAGGTTCGTGGGCACCCGGTCAGCGGACCTCGATGCGATGACTGTCTGGATCCCTCCGACCATCCTTTTGCCGCTCTTGGTCATCGCAACGATCTCCCAGACTTTGATGCTTCTTCTGGCTTTGGTTTCCGCCGCCACCGGCAAGCCGCCCGGCTCAACGAAGCTTTCTGCAGCTTTCTGCAGCTTTGCACCGTTGCAAGACCCAGGAAGCAGCCGCTGCTCTCGGGAGCCAAGTTTGCAGAGGCGTCGGACAGCTGATATATTTCATAGGGTATGCAGCGGCATGCCTGGTCTGCTGCACCGGCAGGTGGCCGAGTCTGCGACATCGGCACTTGTACAGACAAACTTTCTGATCTCTGCCCTGGGGGGCGTTTCACAGATTCAAGCGCTGGAGTTATCGGAGGAGCAGCTGCAAAGCATGCAGCTGTCAGTAGCCGTGTCCTGTTTGTCCCTTGGCCTGGGTTTCGCCAGCCGCGATAAGGCGGACTCGGCAGTGCTCGGCCTTCCCGGGAAACTCGGGTGGGACGCGACGATGGCAGCCCTCGTCCTCACGAGATGTATGGAGGTGTCTAGCAGAATCTTTGCGTATAACATCCTACAAGTCTCCGTGAGGGGATGGCCGCTGCTGCGTTTCGGCAGCCTCGTAGCAGTAGGCCTGGTGCTGGTGTCAGCCCGACTCCTCTTCCCGGACGCCTCCCTGGCAGATGTGGCAGCTCCTTGGCAGGGCATGGCAGGGCTCAGGGCATGGCGGGGCTCTCAGCGGGTTTTGGGGGGCAGTCTGGCTCTGCGCCTGGAGGCGTCCACCATCGCCCATCCGGGGCAGATCTTGGAGCCCAGCTCGCTGCTGCCTCTTCAGCTCCCTGGCGGCCATGTGCGGCCATGTGTGGTGGAGCCACAGTGCGTGTACGGTCTGGTGCTTTCAGAGACTGCCGCGATGAGGCATTCGCTCTGCCTCCACAGCCTTCTCGTCGCGGCTGCTGGTGCATCTCAGCTCGTCTTGCATACCAGCGAAGCTCCAGATGCATCGAAGGCCACCCCCCATTGCACGTGTCGTTGTTGGGGGGCAACACTCCTCCGATTGTGAGCATGGCTTTGTGACTGCCCTGCAGATGCTGCCCAGCGCGCTGCTGACTGCCTGGCTGGCGTCCAGCTCAGTTCAGCTTCAGCTAGCTGAAGCATGCGGCGCAAGCGCATGCCGTCTTTTCAGTGTCACCCATGGCTATGTGTGGAGCTGGTATAGCCAGTGTCCTAGGCGCACAAAACTCAGCACGGACGGAACCGGTCTTTCATAAGAGATGGGGAGGGGTGCAAATGGGCTGCAGCACCAGACTGGACCGGAGAGGTGAAACGTCCGATGTCCTTGGAGAGTTCTGTGATGAAACTGGCTCATGTGTTTTTTTAGTCTATTCCCTCCGGCTTGGTCCCATGATTCGCATTTCCGACCAGTCCCAAACGCAATGCCGGGAGAGTCACATGCAGACTTTCGCAACATTGCTTCAAGTTTGCGTCTGCTTCTTGCAGCCAGGCACCTGCCAGAGATAGGAACATACAGGAGCCCTTTGACGTGGTGATTTCAAAAATCAAAGTCATCAAAGTCGTGCTGCACATCTGTCATGCCGCACTCTCCTCAGTCAGAAAGATCAGCCGATAGAACCGATGGATGATCCCCCATAGGAGAACGGAGGACATATTTGCCGCTCGAAAGAAATAGAACTCATGCACTATACGATCGTTTTGTTCACTTCACACTTTCGCACAGTGACTTCATTCACTTTTTTGTTTATATATTGAACAAGAGATAGTGAGAGTCAGCGAGCATGCAGAATGAATGGACAAGTTACCGTGTGAACGAAGTGGGGCCATGATGCTGCGGTTGGACGGATCTCTAGGCTCTATATTCGAAGACATAAAGACTTAGGCCCAGATCAACTGTTCTCTCTCTTGTGGGGTTGTTAGATTTAAAAGTCAACTATTGCTCGCGCCGGCTCCTCGTCCGCTCCTCGCCCGCTGAGACTACCTCCAAAGACTGCCTGGAGACTACCGTGAGACTCCCTGGAGCCCAACCCCACAGACTACCGTGAGAGACTCCCTGACTACGTGAGAATTAGGAGTGCCCAACCCCCACACACTACCGTGAGACTGCCACCCGAGACTAGTGAGACTCCCTGGAGTGCCCAACCCCAAAGGCTACCGTGAGACTCTCTGGAGTGCCCAACCCGAGGACCCCAGGACCTTATCATCAGTCAGCGGTGTGCCCCTGTGGATCGTCGACTGACCTGAGTCGAACACGTGTTTTGCTACGTGTATGGGGGCCCCACGAGGACAAACTTTTTGCAAGAGTTGCTCACCGTAGATATTCCCAAGCTAAATTTTGTTTCGGTGTTCTTCAATAGCTCTGACATCCGAATTTGCCAAGGGAGCGGGCGCGTGGCTTCGTAGACACCTCCAGCTCTTCAAAATTCTAGTTTTGCAGTGCCATCCACACCCCATAGAAGGTGCATCGACACCCTTTTGGAAGCTAACGTCGTAGGTTGGACACCTGGATGAGACGCGTGAGGGCTGCAACAACGGCGGTGCTGAGGCCGTGAGCATCGCGAGCTGGGCGGCGCTCGTGTTGCTCCGTGGCCCTGACTGCAAGTGAGGGCACCAATTTGCCTTGCTTGGGAAGAGTTTTTTGCCAGAAGCTGCAAGTGGCACGTGCATCGTATGAGGCATGCGCGGCACAGATGTGGAGCAGCCACGCTTTGTCGCCTTGGCGTCAGCAGGCGGCTGCCAGCAGCAAAGAGAGCTCGCACACGCGCTCTCTCTCTCACACACACACACTTGCAGACCAGTC